GATATCTATTTATTTATTAAGTTATATTAGTATATATTAATATGATATATACTGTACAGGGAGGGCGTATCTATTTATTAATGATATCTATTTATTTATTAAGTTATATTAGCATATATTAATATGATATATACTGTACAGGGAGGGCGTATCTATTTATTAATGATATCTATTTATTTATTAAGTTATATTAGTATATATTAATATGATATATACTGTACAGGGAGGGCGTATCTATTTATTAATGATATCTATTTGATTATTAAGTTATATTAGTATATATTAATATGATATATACTGTACAGGGAGGGCGTATCTATTTATTAATGATATCTATTTATTTATTAAGTTATATTAGTTTGATATATAGAAATGAGTTATATCCTTAATAACCTATTATTTATGTATTGATATTTAATGTAGCATAAGTACATCAGTTTATCGGACGGCAACTTCTCTTTTGGGGTTCAAAGTGTCGAGACTGGCTCGGGGACTTTGCTGTTGACGTTGTTAAAGTGGGTGGCACAATGGCTACATTTTTAAATTGGAATTTTCTATACTACTAAGTGGCAGTATAGTTAGACTTGGTTGCTGCAATGGACGGCGCGGTGATTGACAATAATGCTGATGCGTCTGTTGAGCATCTGAAGTCTGTGGCTAAGAGTGTGTTCGACTTTGATAATCTCAAGGATGAACAGATAGAAGTGATGCAAGCCTTGTTGAGAGACCACAAAGATGTCTTTTATGCATTCCCAACGGGTAAGGGTAAGATGATATTATTTTTGCGCGAGGCGTGGTATGGTATTCCGACTAATTCCCTACTTGAGGAAGTTTGTTATGAATACAGTGAGTGGCAATAATAATGATTATAATGATATATCTATATTGAAAATAGAGTAATAATAATGGGATTTTACGCGTTGAACGTGAAGTATTTGAAAGTACGTGAAGTGCACCTCGTGAGTATTTACTGTGCTACTATAGTTAGTGTAGTGTGTTCAATGTAGTAGTAGTAGTACTACTACTGTGTACTACAGCATTGTCTATTGAACGCACCGTATTGTTGTTATTGTCACGTGGTGGTAAGTCGCTATGTTATCAGCTACCAGCACTAGCATCATCTAGCCGGGGTTTGCCCTCATAGTGAGCCCACTCATTGCACTAATGCAGACAACTACAGAAGCTGCGTGGGGTCCTCACTAACAGTTTT